TTGTGTGTGACCGAAATAGAGCCATTAAGAGAGCTTAAAGCTTAACTCTGTATCCTTTCTTAACTTAGTCAAAGATACTGCTACTTCCACCACGCCATAGGGCACTACTTTCTATCACTATGTATATTTACATATCCTTATGGAGAAATGGAGAGAAAATCAATCTAATTAACCCCCAGAATAGGTATAATGCTCGCCTACTTCATAAACTACAGCATCGACAAAGACATGGCCGGCAACAACCCCCTCGGATGGCGCATCCCATTCGCTCTCCAAATTCTTCCCGGCCTCTTCCTTGGCCTCGAACTTTTCTTTCAAAACGAAAGTCCCCGCTGGCTTTTAGAAAAAGACCACCACGAAGAAGCTCTCCTAGCCCTCTCCCACGTGCGTCGTCGCTCCCCACGGATCCCCTCATCCAACGCGAATACAACGAAATGATTGCCAATTTCCACGGCAAGGAAAAACTATCTCTCCCCGACAGACGAAACTTACGGTTTCCAATAAAGGTGAGTATGGCTGCTACATTGCAATTCTGGCAGTCGTGGACAGGAACAAATAGTATTCATTATTATTCTCCACAAATATTTAACATGGTGGGGCTTAAGGGTACATCTGCCGGACTTTTTGCAACGGGGATCTATGGCGTGGTGAAAGTGTGTATCACGGCGTGGGGACTTATGTTTTTTGCGACGGAACGGGTGGGGAGGAAATGGTGTTTGGGTATTGGGGGAATGGGACAGGCGTTCGATATGTTCGACATCGGCATTAACCAAGCTGTCAACCCCCCTCAAAAAGAAATGTCAGACTGGTGTAGGAATCCTCATGCACGCTATGCTGAGGAGCCGACTAGATATCGCCTTCGCCGTATCAATGGTTAGTAGATATGCAGCGAATCCTGACGAACCACACATGAAAGCAGTTGAAAGAATCTTCTGCTATCCACACGGGACCCTCAACTTCACCCTCCTCTTTGAAGGAGAACTCAAGGCTTTGAGTGGCACCATATTCAACGCAAAGGTTCTTTTCCCCTTCAGCACGGTTACATGCCTGTTTTCCGACGACTTTGGGGGAGCAGCAGATATTCTAGCACTGTGGCTGACTAGTCTCAAACGCCTTGCTACTAATATTCCTCCCTCTGCAAATCCCAAAATTTTTATTCTTGGAAGCGCTGAGACACCTGCTTTTGACGGGAGCAAAATGACTGAGAAGTTTATTTCAATATTGAGCAGAGATATTGCGAAACGCGGTGGGGAAAAACTAAGCAAGAGTAATCCCTACGGCCCTACGGGCACCTCAGGAGGGTAATTAACCCACCAGTGGGTTATTATCGTACTAAATCATGTATTGAAGTGAAATGAAATGTATTGAGATCTTATATCGAGATCTGAATATATAGTCTAGGCCTAATATGAATTAGTTCGATATAGCTTCATTTTTTTCACTCTAAATCGATGATTTCAAATTCATTCATATCTACCGAAATCTTTCATATTCCTTTACAACTTTTCATTCAAATCAACTTGAATGCTTTCAATCCTTTCAATGCTTTCAATGTTTTCAATATTCAGTAAGTCAGAATGAATGTTTTCAATGCTTCAATATTCAGTAAGTTAGAATGGTTTCAGTATTTGAATATTCAATAAGGTAGAATAAATGTTTTCAATATTTAGTAAATTTGAATGGTTTCAATTGTTTATATATATAAAGAGTTAGCGACGACGAGAGAGGAGAGGGCCAAGGAGGCCAGGGAGGCCAGGGAGGTAAAGGCTAGGGAGATGAAAGCTAGGGAGTGAGGGGGTGACAATTGAGAGGCCCGGGAGAGGGTGGTCATCGATATCGGAGGCCATTTTAGCTTCAAATCTCAATACAAGCGTTGAATCTCAATACACACGCTAAAAAGGACGCTTGTCAAAAATGGCCGATTTACCCTCCTGAAGAGGGTTATTTACCCTCCTCAGGTGCCCGTAGGGAATAACTTATAATAAGTTCGATGCTTTGGTACTCCGACAATTTAGTCGCATTCGTGTTCTCAATTCACCAAATTATATGTCACGGTGTTATGAAATCAAAGTACAGTATGAGTAGGTCACCACAGCGAGCCTGGACACCATCAAGGGATCTCATCCTCAGTGAATCTCGGAAAGTGCAAGAAAGCCGCAGGGATAACCATATCTTTCTCGGCACAACACATCAAACATTTCTTTCACACGGTGAACGATCACTTTGTTTAAATGCATGTGGATTCACCTGTCGGTTTCGTAGATGCATCCCGATCTCCGAATCATAGTTTCCAAGGAGTTCTCAGTTCATCTGGCGGCTTTTCAACAGAACGTTGACCGAAAGCACATCCTTAATTTTGCGGTTTCAGTTACTGTATTGATTGCATCAGCTTTAGTATTCTTGGGTGCACCGGATTTGGGTAGTGGATCCCTAAGGGGGAAACGGTCTTTGATTCTTTCAAGATTAGATTATTTAAACCTAAAATCAAAGACCGCAGTCTTAAGATAGTATTTAAATGTAATTTATTACTGGCTGGATACTTTACATCCAAATATTTGAAACTAGGTATTGTTGGGATAATGGTGTATGGTCACGTGGCCTTGCGCTAGGTATGTAAGTTGGTTAAAGACCTACTAGGTATGCCATCCTCCGCGACGTACTAATAAACACCGCACCCAAAGCATTGTGACAATCCCGCAATTTTTTATTCAAACACATAACCTCATTAATTGTTTTTCCGAAATGGCGGACGTACAGCAAGCTAGCCCGTTTGACGTACTTGGATTACTTCCTTCGATGGATATAACTTACGACACCATAAGCTCAGGAAAGCGATCGGCTTCGAGTTTTGCAAAAAAAACTTGGAGAGCAAACACCATTTTCGTTGGTCGAGATAAACAATGCAGCCGAAATTGTTCATGAGCTTGTTAGATCACAGGGCCTCGCATTTCATTTCCTTCAAAGGAAAGAGCCATATTCGTTGAGAAGCACCTGGAATCCCAAATTGAAAAAATCTACGTCAAATCCAGATTGGGCGGAAGCCTTGCGCATTTTTAGAGAGACACTTAACAGACTCTGGCAAAGAGGTAGTTATGAAATGGAACACCATAAATGGATGCTTCGAAATAGGATTATCGAGCTTGGAGATAGCTGCCAGGAGTTTGCATACCAGTTGGTGGAGAAAGATCGGGAGATTGAGAAACAAAAAGAGCTGCAGAAACTGCAGACTCGAGCAGAAGTCGATCTACAAGATCAAATACAATCTTCGATTATCAAGAAGGAGCAAATGCAAACAAAACTCACAGCGTCCAAGGACTCGAGGAAGATTCTACAAGAGAAGCTTGAGGGCACAAACATCAGAAGCTTTCTAGATGAATTAATCCATCAGTACGAGTACTTAGAGAACATCATCAAGAAACAACTGAATTTAAAGATTTGTGACTTAGTAGCCCAACCAGTCGCACCAGGAGTAGCGGACAATCGAGAAGAAAAACACCAACTGGTCACATTCGGAGATACGAACAACGCCATTGACCTTAAAAGTGATGGGGATGATGATATTCGCAATCTAGGTTCAGCTAAGACTTCAGAGAGATCAAAACCACAATACAATTCTCACGCTTATCCATTGGATAGTAACAACATTACTAAGAAAGTTTTAGGCGGGAGGGTTACAAAGAATAGAGTAAATCGCCAAAGAATTGGAAACGATCGTGCCACAAAATACAAAGATGTAGCTGGGATGCCACCCGTCGAGTTACGGTCAGGTATGTGCACATGATGTGGCTTTACCTTCCTCGCTGACCATCTACACAGCCTAGTTGTCTCGACATCGACATTGGTATAATATGCTCCTGTATGCTACTGTTTGCGCACTACTTCCCCAAGTCCACTCATCTCAAGTCCTGGCTCTTTTCGCTCCGTTCCATGGGATCTGTACTCTTTCACATCGGCAGATTCACAGATCGCAGTCAGACATCATGCTATGCATCGGGTTTCTTGGCCCTCGAGAGGAAATAATGCGAATTCTTATGTTGAGCTGGGGAATTTGAAAGCCCTCCGGGGGAGATGAGGATTATGAGGGGAGTGAGTACGTCTTCGGTGGCTGGACTGAGGGATAATCATGTTTGATTTCATTAAGGAGAATAATTGGAGTAAAAAGGTGATGGAAGATCCAGATCTGTATAGCTTGGACTATTAGTAAGGATGATTGGGGGGTAATATGGATGCTGATCGTTGAAAACTCGCTCGAAATGTAGATAGTAGTGTGTGTATTGTATTCCGCAGAGTGGCTATGTTATGTCCAAATTGCAAGTTTTGAGAGTGATATAACTGTTTGAATGTGAATTTCCTATCTGCAAGTCCGACGATAACCAAAAGGGATAAGTTTACTCGAGTAGACGAGCGTTTCCTTTTTATTTTTTTATTTTTTTTGACAGCTTATTAGGCCTCAAATAACACCTCCATCTCAGAATATTCCAAATCCTCGTACGCGCTGCAAGCACAAAATGCTTTTGGACCTAACAGAAATTGTTTTCTATGAGCGAACTTTCTACTTTCTACTCTCATATATGAAAGAATGGAAGTGTAATGTATTTCGGAGCAAAGCTATCCGAATATAGATTTTCAGACTTCCCATCCCGTCATTGAGGTCCTTCATTCAATTCCTACAACTCGTAATAATCTCACCATGACGATGAACCTAGTCCCTTAACTCTTCACACCGAAACAATGTCTTCCTTGCACTTCAAACTTGCTAGAAAAACTTCTGGGAAACAGCATATATAGCGTTGCCCGCCACTATCTTTCCTCATTGGTCCCCTTCGTTTTTCCCGACTCTATCATCCACAACAATAATTGCGGCATCGGCACCGTCACTCAATGTATTCTCGATTTCTATTCCAGTTTACCCGCCACTATCTATGGGATCGATGTCCACCCCGTCTTTATTCAATCGTTCGCCAAGTACTGCATAGCCTAATACTGACAGACGACTGCCTAAGTTTTCGTGACCGTTGTCCAGGTACCGATATTCCCGATGACACCTTCTCGCACTCACCCACTCATTTTGTGATTTTCGGCATTGCGGACCTGAGCTGGCGGCCGCCGAAGTATATCTGACGGTGCAACGGAGGGTAAGGGTCATGACTGCATGAGCGCTGGTCTCACATTCGGTAGCGTTGGATCGCACGTTGAATGAGGTGTATGGGTGGGAAAAGGAGCATATTGTGAAGGGGTGGGATAGTGGCGCAAAATTGGCGGGAATGCTGAAGGTGGCGGGGCTTGTGGACATATGCACGAGGTGGTAATGAGACATGAGAGTTTGGAGAGGTGGATAACATTGGCGTGGAGTTGGATGGGGATGAGTCACAGTGAAGGATGGACGGCAAGGGATGAGGACAACTGAGATGCGGATAAGGGGCTATTTGGGATGCGATGAGGGGCGTCTAAGCGTGAAGATGGTGGCGAACATTGGAACCGGGACGAAATCAAACTTCAATGGATGCTGGAGTCTGGAGAAGTAAAGTATACCGCATATAATCATAAATAATATTCTATTCTTTATTGATATTTCAAGCAAAAATCCTTAATCCCGAGACCCCAATCCATCCTATCACAGTACACAAATATCCTCCTACACCCCAAACTATACCCCTACCCTGCCTCATCTCCATCAATCAGTTCATGTGACTGAGCAACAACGCGAACATACCATCAAAATTCTCGCGAAGCAGCATTCCCCGACCAAACTGCAGATTGGCACCGTTGGCAGTATAGTGGCTCCAGACATCGCGGACCTCTTTGGGAGTATGAGGCCAAAATAGCTGGTCAAGGGTGTTCACACCAGTACTATATGTACGCATGAATTGGCGAACACAATGAGCAAGCTGGTCCATCCATGCAGAAGCAATGCGAACTTCACCCATCCCGTCAAACTTGCAATTAGCTAGGAAGACGTGCTTGAATCCCAGCAATAATACCAGGAGCTGAAATTTATGGGCGGGTTCCATTGGGAAAGGGTCAAGATCGGAATCAAAATGCATCCAGTAGTAGAACACAATAGTCCTCTCCATCGAATTAGACTCCCTCCTTAGCAGGACCTTCAGGAACTCAAAAGATGGACATGGATATAGATATGGAAGAAAGTCAAGTTGGGCGGGATGATATTGATCCAAATCTCGACCCGGCACTTTTCACCAACTCTCAAAGCTCTAGTACTAGCTCCAGGACTATCGCTGGAGTATATGGAACTACACATACCGTTCCTGACATGGAAACCAGTCCTATCACCAGCATTGGTACTAATTCTAGTGGTTCCGATGGTCAAATTGAACCTAGCAAAGGGGACAAAAATGAAAGTCTTGGAGCTTCGGAATGTACTAAGACAGCATGCAACAACCCCGCCGCTCCCAATAAACGACGTCCAGGGCAGTTTACTAAGGTATGTATTGCCCATACTAGAGGGTATACATCTGCTGGTACCACCTTTTCCTCTTCCACCATCGCTGGAGGAAAACGACGTACTAAAATGAGTGCTAAAGTAGCTCAGGCGGAGGAAGACAAAGCACAAAAGGCTCAAGCTCAAAAGCAAGATATGGAACGAAAGAAAGGCAAACAGGTTGAACGAGAGCATGATGATAACCTTGTATGTGGTTTATCTCAACGATGATTATATCTTATCATTCTCAGATCAATCCAAAATGTACTACATTTTTGATCCATTTTTCGCTTGAATATGAAATTAGTGATTGAATGCTCTAGTTGGCCTAAGAATTTCATGATGTTTTTGATTGGGCGAGTTAAGTGGTTACTATTCTTGATTGGTTGAAATAAGTGGTTGATACTGGTGGCTAGATCCTGTGCCTTGCCTTCATATATTGCTTTTCAAAAGCAAACACTCTGAATATCTCAACCTCCAAACCTTTCAATAATTTTCACAAGAGTACGACATCGCCACCTTTCACAAAATCATCGATATTATCTTACAATTGATAGAGATAATAAGTAACATTCAGGACATGTCCATTTCTCCCATGTATTGGTCTGCAAACCCATCTCGGGGTAAGAAAAATGATCAAGGAAAGAAGAGTAAAATTTGCTAATATAAGGACACCAGACTACTACAGCAACTACTCTATTCCTCAGGAAATCCATCATTATCATCATCACTACTACTATACCTACCAGCCGAATCAACATCAAATCCAACAGCAAACGGACCTCGAAAATCAATCTCCTCATCGTCGCCGCCATCAACACAAACGACCCCATCCATATCGCAAACACTACAAGTACTACATCGAAAACGACTAGAACTACTAGAATACAGAATAGAAGGAACACTTGTTCCGCTTGGTATGCCTATCTCGCCGTTCCTTCAACAAGCTTACTTGAATCCTCTTGACACAGATTATGCGCGACAATTTGATGCTCCAAAATTCGATATACCTATATCAAAACAGGTTAATTTTTCCGAAAGTCATCTGAGCAATCTCCTCCCTCGACAACAATGGGAATTGACCTTCAGTACCTTGATATCCCTCAAGGCCAACATTGCGAAGAAGGCAGAACTTATGAGAAAATGGGTGGGGTTTGCGAAGGAGAACCGACATATTTGGATTGCAGCAGGAGGAGATGCGAAGCGTATTGATCATAACATCTTCGAATTCGATTCTGAAGTAAAACGACTAGGTATGACAAAGAACGAATTGAGACGAGACGCAAATATGCGTCAGCTTCGATATTGGCTCAGCGATACCCGTGGTTTACTGGTGGTGGAAGAGATTATGCCGCATATTGAATGCGAGATTGGCACAAAAGGTAGAATAGGACAGGATGGTTTACGCTCTATGCTAGAGGCTTTCAATCACACTATGAATACGTCTTGGGAGGCTTGCGAGTTGTTGAACTACATCAAGATTTTTCGTTGGGAAACAGGAAATATGCGGGATGAATGGTTGCCAATCGATACCTATTCTTTGCATAAATTTACGCATGAGACGATTTTGGGAAAAAGGGCTACCCAAAAGCATCGAGAAGATTCCCTTCCACTCATGCCGCCATTTCGATTAATTCGGGATCCTACCTTTTTTCCAACCCCAATCCGCTTGGAATACTCCCCTGCAGGTTTTATCCATATCGTTGGGCAATACGAGTCTTACGAACCATGGCCAGAACCACCCAACTTTCGAGGAGAGGAATTCTTAGATATTATTCGATTTTATGAGTCTGGCGGAACTTGGAACAACCGCGTTCAACATGTCGGCCCTATCGAGAAAAAAACCAAACAAAAGCGTGCCCGTGGTAGTAAATCTGTAGGGGAGGAACGAGAGGGACCTTTCAAAACAGCGGAGACCGTTCGTATGCGAGAGGAACAAGCTAAACCAATACCTAGCGCCGCTGTCTCCCAGTTTGGATATGATAATGGAATCCTCTTTCCATTTGAATTTGGTGGTGGAGTTCTCTCTCAATTTGACGTTGATAGTAGCAATAGCGGTGGAGGTATTGATAACGATAGCGATGATGAAGGTGGAGGTGAAAGTGGTGGTGGAGGTGGTACTGTTAATGCGGATTTCTCTGGTGGTAGTACCTTGGTGGACGTATCGGCGCTGTCTGAGCTGCCTAATCTCAAGTATTGTGAGCTACGCAAAGTTGCTATCTCCAATGCTTACTCTGGTCAAATCTCTTTGTGTGAGTACATGCCAGAGATTAAACCCCCTGTGGTACAATATCGACCTCCATTTGTTGATCAAGATTTCAGAGTTTGTCAAGGAACATTGAAGTCTTTCATTCCATATAGCAATCCTCCAAGATGTAGAGGGGTACGGCAATTGAGTATACATAATACTTTTGATCAGTAAATGATTGATGGATGGTTGCGCAAGTTGCACAGGGCAGATTATACCATTACGTATAAGTTGAAAACACCAAAAAAAGAGAGGAAGAAGACAAAAAAGGTAGCCTCAAGTTTGAAAATGCCTGGTACAAATCCAAACGCCCGTTGCCCTGTATCATGGGAGGTAAAAGTGTGGAAGCATGTACCAAGAGACCATTTTGGAAGTAGGAAACGTCGTGGAGGAGGAAGTATTAAAAAGGTTTCAAAAAAAACATCGAAAGGTCTTGTTGACAGAGGATTGGGTTTCATTGGTTGATTTTGCAGATCAACCACTTAGCTCTTAGCTACTTATGATTAGCTAGATAAGAATACAAAATACGGAATATCAATAATCCACCAAACGATAAGAATAAGGGGTTCCTGCGAGTTGTTTTTATATGAAGCTCAATCGCTAAACACCGTACAAATACATATATCTCGTGTTGTGTGATAATTTTAGAAGATGAGGAGGACCTGACTACAGCCGCTGGTACTGTATTTTCCACGACTGCATCGAAGAGACATCTCCATGTTATTGGGTCTATGGGCTTACTGAAATTGACTTTACTGTACCGCATTTGGGGAATAAGTGACTTCCTTTTGCTCTTTGTGTTTTTGAAAAATTCTTCGAGAAGACTCGTGGAAAAGCTTTGTGATTTTCATAGCGGTAGTTATCCTCTGTCTCATTAATTACAATTGCATGGGAAGCTAATCTGCTACATCCGTCGGGTTCATCATTTATAAAAGTTATACTATTTTCATCCTTAATACACCGCTCCTCCCCGTACAGAGATTGAGGAGACGTACCATTTTCTCCTGTTGATTCCAGCGGTATTCGAGACCCACGCCCTGGGAAGCTCGATTTGTACTCTACCAGTCTTCTCTGTATACCATCGAGGATAATTGATCCATCGGCTCTAAGTCGCATATTGTTCGTGAGCTGGGAACAACATGGCGGATACACCTTCTCGGCCGGGCATGGCAGAGTCTTATGTGCATGCGATTGGAGAACTCCTTGGCAAGGCAAAGTTACAAATGGTGTTCAGTGATCATAACAGTATTTTCTGTTGACGATTATTGCCGGGGGCTTTGTGGCGAATTAAATGTGGTTCTGTATGCCACTCAATATTGTATTGCGCATATTCGATAATATACAAAGATGTAACCAAGTAATGAAGGAAGTAAAGGCTTGGGGACCTGGGTATGAATTTTGGGAGATACACAACACTCAGTAGTGGCTTTATATGGCTTGCAAAGGAAATGAAAGCGGTTAATCGAGGATAATCCGGAGTAATACGGTGAGTAACATCAACCAGTTTATATTACTTGTCAATACTGAAAGTCAAAGGATGCCATTTACAAGAAAGTTATTAAACTGTCTAAACTTTTTGTACCAGATTGGTACATCAAGCAATGGGGACTTCGTTCGTGATTGTTAGTTGGCAAATTCCTTCTCGATTATCATTATCTAAGATTTCATAGACAATCAATGCAACTTGGGCTTTCGTATACCCGCTGCTTGTAAGCCATAAAATTTCTACTCTGGTCCGCCTTCTGAAATTTATATCATTGAATAGTTACCAAGCAATCCCTACATAGAATGCGTGAAGATTTGTCTCCCATCTGTGCAGTAGCACGATCCTTCAAATTCCAATATCGGGGTGTACTATTCCCTAATAATATGGATGAAAACCAGGCATGCGAGATGCCGTATCAAAGACTTAACCGAAGCTCTCCGTACTGCGAAGGGAACTATGCGCCATTACACATTAAATTGGTATTGAAAGATGTACTGGGAACTCCGGGAACAAACCAGATTTAAACCGGCAATCGTCTCGCGCTACGATCTAGATGGAAATGCCAGATATTATATGAAAATACTAGGGGACCAATGGGATCTAGGAGACGAATATCCCGTTTCCCCTACTTTCTATTATATAACGCCAATTTTGGGACTTTTTGCTCTATGCGAAGAAGACGGGAGAATGATTCCGATGGCGTATTTGCCATCTTAGACTGGATCCAGGATGATAAGCGTACGCCACCAGGTACGTACTTCACCAACAGCTCCACCACTAGGTATTCCACCAGCTGGATCAGCGATTGCTGATTCTCTGCCAGCTCTCAATCTATCAAGAATCGAAAATTACGGTAGGAATGCCACCAGAGTGCCATTCGACAAATCTGGCTAGACCTTTTTAACAGATATAGACCATTTTGTCGAGGATCTGGAACACGCTAACGAAGATTGGATACACGAGTGCGCCCCAAAAGCATTCCAACTATCTATAGGATATCAATATAACAGTCCCTTCACTCTGGATAAAGTGAAACAATTATTCAATGATGTCTTTCCTTTTTACTACAATGCATGGCAAGATGAAGAAGTTGCTAGAATACTATTGCATCCAGGGATGGGAGTCCTCAGATCTCGTATCTCCCTTGGTATCGTCCGCGGTATTTTGTACGACGACACTAGTTTCATGGTGGATCATTGGTTGAAACCGGAAGACTATTATAGGCCCTATAAACGGATCGTGTATATTGCTCAGTCACCGATCTGCGACCTTCACCCATAGGAGGTCGACAGGATCGTAGACATCACTGGGTGGGTATGAAATATCAGCCCCGACGCCCAGTACCAGACTCTCCACCGCCTAAAGCTCGAGCAACATTCATACCTCCCCCAAATAATCCATTACCAGTGTCATTGTATAGGCTACTGCTTAACGCAGTGACCGGCGTCGAAAGATCTACACAAGATCTTGAATCCTATGGCGGCTCGTCTTATTGGGCTAATTTTGATACTGCGGAAGGCTTTGCAATTAAGTCTGGTTAGCAAGGGGTACCGTCGTCGACTCCTGAAGGCGTCGCGATTCCTCAGGCGTCGCTCGAAATTGAAGAGGAGTTTGATACTGAGGTACCACTACCAGTACGACCACAACAACGTGAACAACCTCGATCACAACAGCCGCAGGACTTCACGGCAGAACAGCTCGAACTGACACTTATGCTTCAGGCGCAACAAGGACGTGGTAATAAGAAAACACCTATGGAAGATAGGAAAGCGAGGGGAAAGAGGAAGGGAGTGGGATAGGCAAAGAGAGTGGGAAAGATGGAGAAATGGGGAAGAGGAGGGGGAAGGAGAAGGGAAGTGAAATGAGACCTGTTGGTGATCGGCTGGATACTCGGGGTGGTAATACTCGTACTGTTAATTAGAATCCGGAAAATGAGCTGTGAGTCACGGTTTTGGTGGATAGATTCCGGGCTTGCTGGTGCTGATGCTGAGTATAATTTATTGTTACTTTGGGGAAATGGTGTGGGTGTAGGGTTGCTTGGGATTGATCTGCTACTTCAAGTGGAGAATGAGAACAGAGTAAGTGAGGCAAACGAGTTTCGTAAGTCCGGCGGGATATAGGCGCAGGGATGCTTGGTCAATACAGAAGCGGGAGAGAATAAGATTGGATAACGTGCATATCATTGAATTTTATTATAATCAATACTACATTAGTATCCGATTGTGGATTCCTATCGTTACCAATCAGAGTATCTTTTCATTAGCAAAAAACTTGAAGTTAGCTGATAGCATTAACTAGATGGGCAGTTCCTTGATGAGTTAAATTGCCAGCGTATATTGGCAAGCTAGTTATTTGTATATTTTTTAGAGTGTTCAAATATTAGATTCTTCTTTAATACCCGAGTAGAATGTAAGATTATAACTTCATCCCTCAAATTCCCACAAAACCTCAAAAAACAGAGTAGTAAATATTGAAACATAACTTTGAACCTGCCTTTCCACTTTTCCACCCTTGCCAGTTGATCAGGCACCACACCGCATCTAAATATTTTGGATTTTGTGAACCAGCCTCAGGGTGAATACTAAGCGAGTTGTTTATACTTCCCCCCTATTAGTCAGTCAATTTTCGGTAAGGTATTAATTATGTGATAGTCGCTTATTGTCCGAATGTATGAAGTTATACTAGCAGCCATATATGCATATTCGCTCTAATAATCGCATATTATCCTGAGAATTTCTGAATAATTATGATTAGGTGATGTAGATTATAGGCAAGAAAGCAATCGTGTGTTTCCGTCAGTAAGAATATGTACAAGGTAACTTATGCTATGCTATATGAGCGATCCATTTACATTACTGTTGGGCATATAACGGACCAGACCTACGATGACTCGTGCCAATGCTCGTTACATAATCTCAATTCACACGTTGGAATTTGGAATGTAGGATTATATTTACTGATGATTTGTTGAAGAGCATCCTTATTTGTACGTAATTTATCCGCCAGAATAATGATCTCCTATTACTTCATCCCAGCTCTACCATAACAGAAACGCATGAGTTGCCATGATATCCCAATTGTTGAATGCTTTCGAAAAGTAGACGTAATTTCCTGGATTGTTTGTAACTTCATATTTGACTACTAAACGCGACTTGACAGTACTCATTGCAACTCGAGATAATTCAAAATGGAGCCGACATTTGTACATTTGTCTGCTAAGCAACATTATCCATGTACTCAAGACTTACTATATCTTGAGGTCCAGTGCCCAAGAATCGAGTGAACACGACTCGGGTAAGTTTCGCTTGCTCTCTCTCGTCCATGTACCGGATTCGGACCAAACACCTTTGTCGCGGGTACTTGATAGGGTAGCCAGGAGCTGTCACAAGATTGTCTCGGTACCTTTATTGTGCTGCAATCTCGTGTGCAGCTATAGTGATTAGGTGAGAAAAGAACGACGGTCTGATTAGACGCCATTGAGGAGAGGGCGTATCCGCAAATATTGAATCGCCTTCCCATAGAATATCTTAGCTAAGAGTCGTGGCTCCATTAGAAGCGAGGTCACATCTTCAAAGACCGGCCTGAGGTATTCGTCGACCATGCGTGCAAAGTTTAAATAGCTCTGTAGCAGCTTAGTGCCAAATAATAGGGCATGACTTCATGCCTCTGAGAGTGATGAGAAGGATATCAACGTGGTAACGGTAATTATATGCTGCAGACATTTGCATGGGTGCATCGGGTGCACAAACAAACCCTAGTAGTGATCAAAGCTTAGCATCCCTTAGATCTAGTAGAAATTGCGTTGCCTAACTCTGAGTGTTCGAAAAGCTGCTCTGACAATGAGTTCGAAGACGAATTGAGAAGTAACTCCATCGTAGGGATGGCAGAAAGAAAAAACAAGAATGGGGGGAGATATCTATGCGATCAATGTTTAGGTACAGAGTGCCTAGAGGATAGAGACAAAGATGTGAGGCGTTGTAGATTCTGTGCAATTGTTGAGGTGACAGAATGGGGAAGAAGTACCTAGGCTTTCTGATCGTGGACGATAAGTACGTGAACAATAGAGGGCAATGATGAGATAGCTGAAATATGTGTGCGCCTTGCCTGATTATTTATTTATTACTAGCATTACTAATTAGTCTTAAATTGAAGTTAGTGTTGATTTTTGAATTTATACCTAGGTACATAACTAGCTAGTAGGCCGTGATGGCGGGCTAGATAAAAGTGTAACGCCGTATGGTAATATCCCCGCTTTATATGCTATCACAGATAGTACAGCACAGTACAGTACATGGGCTAATTCTATACCTAGTTATTAAAAGAAGACGAGGCTGCAGTCGGCACAGATGAGGTCGAAGTAAGAAGTGAAGATCAAGATAAAATCAATCGATTCAGTCGTCTACACCAACGAGAGATTGGGCTCGATGATGAGTTGAAGTCAGAACATGTCAGTACACTTGAATACTCTGCGACTAAAGCTCTTCTCAATTTGCAAAGAATATTTTATTGATCAGATTGTTGTGCAGAAAGAAAAGAAAGACTTTGACGATGTTTCGGACGAACTTGAGTTGATAGATGAAGATGACCTGATATTGTACAACGATCCTATCACTTTCATTTGATGCTCAAATATATATATTATGTGTCGAATCATACTTACAGCTTTTTGAAGGTACAAAATCGGAGATTCATTTCGCTACCACTGCCTGAGGTTCAGGAATTGCTCACGAAGTCGACAGAAAATATTGAGGAGGAAGTAACGGTGGTCGAAGAAAAGCTTAGCACGATCAGAGAGGAAATGACACAATTGAAGGTGGAATTATATGCCAGATTTGGTCGAAGTATCAATCTGGAAACAGTCGAAATTTCATAGGAACACCCAAAGGATACATCAAAGCTCCATAACAAAGCCACGAGACGACCCAATCACAACGGAAAGCTCACGAGAGTTGAACGGCATAACATACTTCTGTGTACCCGAAACATCTACCGATAAGACATTTTTCGAGAGAGAAAGACCGCCTTTTATCACACCGAACAACCTAGATTATTTTTCGTCAGATTATATTAATCAAAAGGTGCTGAGTTTAGTTCGACCCGTCCTGTCGTTAACGAATGTTCATCTTCGTCTAGACTTTTGGGGGGCAACCGACCCGAAACTTCTTGAACAAGACTGGGGATATTTTTATCACACACACCAATCCGATTATCTTCCTTTGAAGATCTGCCACTTCTCCTACCTAGTCAACTTATTCCCGGATGACATTGCTGAAGTAAGCTGCCATCCTTACAGTTGAGACGGCACCATCGATCCTTTGATATCTTTCAACCAATTATTTGGACTTGATGGCATGCAGGAGACCCATACCAATCATTCGGCAGTGGGGATAGCTTCCGATGAAGTTCTTATTTCCAGTTGAGTATATTTAAGTATATCGCAAGCTAGATCCCTTCCTTTGACGTTTCATTACATTCTTTGTTTCATTTTTATTTTCGCACTATACAAAACTTAGTCCTATCCATGAGCTCAAGCTTCACCAAAGTCACCTAGGACGTCGCAAAGAGAAGTGAGAAGACTTCCAATTGCCTGGCTGGACGGGGGGCAAGTGGGAAACCGATAATGTCCAGCACAGATCATGGAAATGAAATTGGTATATTGGGAGTAAAGAATATTGTTATGGTTACAAATGAGCCAGAAACAGACCGTATACCAATTGGTAGATTATCTCCTCATTTTCAAGTCCATCAATTGAATGAGGAAACAGGCGGAGGCATGCAAAAGGCTAGTTGGCAATAAATGCTCAGATGGCTGCGAGATTTAAAAGTACAGACTATGAAGAAGAGCTAGCCAAGCAATACATACAGCACATGACAAGAAAAGTGCGCAACGCCACGCATAATATTACGGCGTGGCGCATGGAGGGTGCAGAGGGCAAGGAAATCGTATATGAGGACTGTGATGATGATAGGGAGGCGGGGACGGGGGGAAAGAGTGTTGCGCTTTGTTGCAGCATATGGATGTTTGGGGGGTGGTAGTGGTGGTTACGAGGTGGTATATGCCCTACGGGCACCTCAGGAGGGTAAATAACCCTCCCAAAGAGGATAAATCGGCCATTTTTGACAAGCATCCTTTTTAGCGTGTGTATTGAGATTCAAAGCATATATTGAGATTCAACGCTTGTATTGAAATTTGAAGCTAAAAAAGGCCTCCGATATCGTTGATCACCCTCTCCCGGGCCTCTCAATTGCCACCCCCTCCCCTCCCTGACTTCCCTGGCCTCCCTAGCCTCCCTGGTCTCCCTGGTCTCCCTGGCCCTCTCCTGAGTTTCGTACCTCATTTTGAACCTCGTCATCGCACCCTTGTTATTGTTAATCTTTAATTGTTTATATAAACGATTGAAGGCATTGAAAGCATTCCAACTTACTGAATATTGAAAATATTGAAACCATTCTAACTTACTGAATATTGAAAGCATTGAAAGCATTCAAGTTGATTTGAATAAAAAGTTGTAGAATTGATTGAAAGATTTCAGTAAATATAAATAAATTTGAAATCATCGATTTAGGGTGAAAAAAATGAAGCTATATCGAACTAATTCATGCTAGACTTAAACTATGTATTCAGATCTCAATACAAGATCTCAATACATTTCATTGTACTTCAATACGTAGTTTAGTACAATAATAACCTACTGGTTGGTTAATTACCCTCCTGAGGTGCCCGTAGGGGACGTTGGGGGAGTGCGAAGAGGGGGAAGGGGAAGGGGAAGGGGAAGGTGAAGAGGTAATTGGATTGGATTGAGAGGTGGAGGCGTGTTCTAGGTTGTAAGTGTAGTGAGTGGTATACGGAAATCACATACGAAATGTATATATACATCTTGGCTATACTATGCGTACATCGCATCGCATCGCACAACATCATACCCACATCCACATCTATCTATACACGGCACTCCCTCAATCGACCAAGCATATATTCCACCCCTTTTCCCCACCTAAATTCAAACAACAAAACAAGAAAACGAAACCCAGAAGCCACATCTGAATCTCAATCTCAATCTCGATCTTGGTTCTCTCCCCCGAGATTCTCCAATTCAACCCAATACCGGTACACATATCAGAACCCTCTCCTTTACACACCAGTACCCACCTACCTATCTAAGCCCTAGTATCAAATACCCAGTACCGGTTTCATACCAATCTCACACCAAACATATACTCAACTAAAATATCACCACACACCGCATCACGCACCACATACCACCACTACCACTACCATATTACTAAAAACCACACGATAGCGACCACCTAACTGTACGAATACAAAACTCACGCTCGAGTATAATTTATGATTTACTTTACAATGGTTTACAAGTCATGCAGCTGGGAGTTTGGATTGGATTGGATTGTGGGGTTAGGGATACGATGAGATGAGATGGGAGGAGATGGGATGAGGATGGGATATGGTGAGATGGAGGGTGACTCTTTGTTTACTTGTTTGTAAAGTTGGTAGATAGAGACACTAGGTAGAGATTGGGACGAGTATGGGAATAGGAATAGGAATAGGAGTACTCGAGTATATACATGTGTATATCGTTTTCAACCTTCAATCTTCATAATAATAGCAAAGGAAAATTTTGGACTTTATAGAAGCATGAATTCACGATTTGCAGTACTCGTACATCACATGACGTACTCGAGAATATATTCTAGTATTGGCTAATGACTCTATATTATCTAGAAAACGGTCGATGAGACCCCTGGAAGAGTTTGCTTAAACATCCAAGCAAAATCAAGAACTCTGTAAATGGCCCATAATATGCATACAACAGACAGACGAAGCCCTATACATAACCACATAAGTATGATCAACACAAGAAATTCCATCTATCCAGCAGTGCATTAATACTTCAACACCTTTTCCTTCGCAATCTTCTCTTTCTCGTCCGAAATACATTTCTCTTCCCTGTTATTATCCGTTAACTCCTTCAATTCATTTCCCATTGCAGTTTTGTCACCTCGTTCGCCGGTAGAATCTTTTTGGTCGAGGATTTCAACGATACCAATTTCGCTCTCAACACCTTTGACAACATTCGCATCAACTTCTATAGTCCTGGTTTTAGGGAGACCTTTCTCTTCGTTGTAGAAAATGGGGCATCCACGAACCAGCATACTCTTTCTTCACTCTCGTCGGCCCAATTCCTTAATTTCTCGCGTCTAAAGAAAGCAAAGTCCCATTCTCCCTTCTCAAGCTCATTCAGATCTGTAAACACATGCGTATGCGCTTTCTTTTCCTCTCCCGTTTCGGTGGCTTTTGCATTAATTCCACTGGTGCCATGTACATGCTTGTTATCATTAGGAGCTAATATCTTCAACTACCAATGAGGACACCAGTTAGCAATCAGCTCATGTTTGGATATAGATAGCGCATCTGCTAACTCATTGTCGATGCCAGGAATATGAATGGCTTCAACTTTGATAGCAGCTAAGAGTAGAATTGAGCGGAGGTTATCGTTTGCTACCCCGGCTAGCGTCCGTTTGACTAATCCTATTTGTGTGTACTACGAATGTTTTGTTTCTCCATATTGGGGCCCGATTTTGAGGATTGCTACGTATATTGTGTCACGGTATGTGACCTTATTTGTAATACACCGGGACTACTTCTGGCCTGGAGATAACATTAGCATGTATAGTTGATCAGATTCAGATACAAACCACCAAGAACTCATTGTGTCGTACATCGGCAGTTCCGAATCTGGATCAGCATTTAATCCGTAGACATATTAATACAATGCGTGACGTGACAAGTTTTGATAGGAAAAAAAAGGATTGATATTCGTGGATTGATAAGATTCCATCAAGGGTATTTATCCCTGGAACCGTACCGCTTTGAGCTCGAAGAATGAGTCCTGAGTATTTTCCCCCAAAGATTCCATGAAAGTGTGCCTTTTTTGATGTTTCTCGTGTACTTTTTCCATGAACAAGGTTGGTACTGAACAGTGATGCGTGCGCGGAGCCCATCGTTGAAAAATTCGCTCCGTTAGACGTTGGAAAGAGGTCCCTCTACCATTCGATGTCCTTCTTCACCGAAACTGTGATCCGCTTGCGCTGGTTCGAGGGCCAGAACTTATTGAAAGATGCAATAAAGCGCCATAGTCGTTGGCAAAAGATTATACCGAGCTGGACCTAAAACACACGATCTAATGTACTCTTCCCTCGTATGATATTCACATCTCTTTTCACGATAGCATATCCTTGGTTGAAAAACAAAGACTGCACATCATTCCATGATCAAATAATGGGCATTGATGAGAGTTTTTTTGCCTATGTAGGGCTTTCTCTCACAAGAAGATATATTGAAGAAGTTGATTGATTGAATTGAGTGCTTTAGAGAACTCGAACACTACTAGTATGAGATATTTATAGTCCGAGTAGAGTCGCGCGAGCCAAGAGAGTCTCGTGCGATAGGCGAAGCCGTAACGCTACTTTTGTCACACTTTCTCAGAAAAGATATTATACAAAAATAATGCTGGGAAGAACAAGAATAGAAACTTAACGATGAACCTCAAGGCTAGACTACCCATTGTCTGTACTTACATATGTTACCTACCTATATTAAAGGTCTCCGATCGGACTATTGAACTGCACCGGCAGAATCGAGAGAATATTGAGGTTCCCGAACGAAAAGATGGAATTGCGAAATAGTTAGATGACTTACACTGCTCATCATCATAACTATATCTCGGTCTCGCGTTTATCTCGTGGTAGAAAACTCATGATAGTGAATAGTGTGTCCAACATGATTCGCAACAGCGAGACAGATGTACTTGTTTTTGTTTGGGTCAACTTCCTTTGGTCCATCTTGGGGTTTGTCTCTTGAAATGTACTAGGTACAGTACCGGTAGATACTCCTCTCAAGTGGAAGCCTACCGTCACGCACTGGAGACTTCAAGATTTATCTCATTTCACTTTTCACCTTTACTTTATCTTTCATCCATTACTCGTTCGTCTCTTTTCATCCATTCCATACATTCATTCATTCATGGGGAGAAATTGATGCAGTTAATCACTTTCATCGAGACGATTTGTAGATTTTCGTCTAATACATTTTAATTGCTAATATCATTATACTATAGATGACACTATGGAAGATACCGTGGAATCTCAAGAGGATGCGGTTGGTACCGCGATGGGTTCTCAGCATTATCTCAACGACCAGATGCGAACGATTTTTCGGAAGATGAAAGATGATCCCTCAGTCTTTGAGTTTACTCGTATGATGGGTATAGCTAGAGATCATCAGCTCGATCACTTACTCTCGATGAAGGAGGATATTGATCGTACCTTTTCCACGAACTAAACCACCTTCATCTACCCCAATTCAATATACAAGCCGACGTCAATGTTCATGAAAATCCATTCGCATGTAAAGACGCTGCACGAATTCTTACATCTTTGGTACAAAATGAAAGTCAAGATTCAATCAATACCCTGATATATCCCTTGCTCGGTAGTAGATCATGCATTTGATATTCAGGATTTGCAAGAAGAGAGGGATTTGAAGTGAAACTCCAAGATATTAAACTTTCATTCGAGTTGGTTACTGTCGAGAACAAAGAGGCGCTAGAATTCCCGCCGGAATTCTACAACCTTGAAACTAAGACCTTCGAAACTATTGCGGATGAGAAGATTGAGGTAAAGAGGAGTTCGATGATTTGTCTTCATATGGCCTCGGAGACAATACTAACAAACGACGATAAACAAGAAATCTGGGATAGCGAGCAAACAAATCTTAGAGTGAGTTCTGATCCTTCTATATTCTATATACCCAATACTAACAATTCAAGAAATTTCCGATTGCGAATCATATTACACCACCACTTTCTCTAATATTAAAATCATCACCTAACAGCCCTCTGCCTGTTCTCGGTCCGGCCTGCGAGATCCAGCTTCTTTCAGATCCTAATTCTTCCAACTTCTGTGGATCTCAAAGAAGATTGAGGATGAAGTATTCAAGGAAGATCTGCCAACTCCGATGCACGATATGTATCAAGGACTTCGGAGGTCTGAGATAGAAAATGTCGAGCACTATCAAAAGCAAGGACGTCGAGACAATCCTCACATTCGTAAAGCTACGATACAGATTACATATCCATTAATTAGCCCAGATATGCAATATGATATACTAAAGCTTCAAGAGAATATCATGACAACTTGAAAGAGAGATCGACAAAATAATAGCGAGGAAGATTGCCTGCTTGAAGGCATATTTTCAGCTAAAAGTACACTGAGCAATTTTCTAGAGATATAAGGCGCTAAGAAGCCGAAACTCATCGCAAACACCCATTTCTATACTCTCAATACTCCATCACTTATACCCCCAAATCAAGTAACTCTCAGCAAAGAGTCCCAGATTCAAGAATCTCCCATCTCAGCAACTCGATCACCTCTCCCATCCCCGACAATTATAACCCCGCAAAACCCCATCACTATTATCCTCTCCTCAACCCTCCTCAAAAACCAGCCTCTAATCTGCTCTCTCCAATCCCTCCTCTCCACTCTTAAGATCTGCGAACACGATTTCTCCACCCATAACACTACGATCTGAAACCCTGACTCAGTGATTCGCTCCCCTATCATTAGTACGTAGTGGCTCGCAAGATGATTGATTCCCGTCTTAGATTACGGTCTAGTCTACCTACCTACTTACCTATAGCTGTGGGGTAAAGTAAAGCGATGAAGGATTCAGGTTGTAGGTATGAAAAAAGGTATCCTTATTGTTATGATACGAAGTGAGACTATATAGAATCCACTAGAGTCGCACCTTCCATATTGATCCCTAACAGCGACAAGCTGAACAGAACATACGATTTGAAGAATCCATCATACATATTGTTTTGGACAGGGGATCCTCGGACTACGGGCGATCAACACACTAGTAGGTACCTATAGTAAAGAGAGCTTCATTTTATACAAGTAATATCAAGTATTCATATTTAATATTTGTATTGCAAAGTTCAAAAAGCCACTATATATAGCCCAACGATCCCCGACCCTGCTCCAGCTCTAGCTAAATTGAACTTCCCACTGGCACACTTCAATATCTCAAACATAAAGAACAGATTCCTACACAATCAATACTGTATCTTTGCTTACCCTCTGTCTTTGCATTTGACCCTCCTCTCTCTTCCACATATATGCAGCTCATCGTTATGCCATCACATCCCCAAAAACTAAGCTACCATCCCTGCTTCATTGAACAGGACCCAGCATTCTGTATTTAGCTTCTAATTTCCTTAAGATATGATACTACGGAGTATATGCTCAAAAATCTCACGATACTATGTCAACGTCTTGAATTTCCATCGTTTTCTAAGTGTGTTGTGTATATATATTTGACTGACATAGCTACTAGATAGCTGCTGAGATCCCAACCCAAGCCAATATGATTTGGGAAAGATTACTGTTATTTATGATCAACATATTCTTTGTGAATTTTCATTTTCATTTTCAATTCCACTCAAACACATACGGAGTTGAGAAACCAGAAAGCTAATCAGGATCACCAAAGGTCCACCCGTGATAGTTATGATTGCAGGTCCCCTCTTTCTCCCTCTCCCTTCCCCTCCTCTCCTCTCCTCATATTTTTATACCTTTATACCCTCTTCCCCACCTGAACACCCGTCCAGGTCGACTGTCTCCTCAACACTCTCCTCTTCCTCCTCGGTGTCATCCCTGGCTACATCCACGGCTTCTACATAA